TTGGCAACCCATTATACCATAGAGCAATATAATTTATTTTTTACTCTCTGCTTTCCAGAGTATTAGAAAGAATTGGAGCCAGGGCCTTGGTAGCCCATGTGAGAACATTTGCAGATTTCCTGGTATATGAGTTCTCTACATCAGCTGGGGGTCAGCAACTCAACAAATGCATTGAAATTCTTAATGACATGGTATGGAAATACAACATTGTTACATTGGACAGATTAATTCTCTGCCTGGTAAGAATATGCTTAACTTAATGTTTCTAAGCTGTCTATCCTCTTTTGGGTCAATGTATGTGATTGATAGATCTTCTAAGGATTTAATAAATTTATATTATAATTAAGCATTGCTATCACTTCCCTATGGAACTAGAGATTTCCCAATTTCTTTACTCATTCATTCAATAAGTATATATTGAATATATACTATGTTCTATGCACAGATACTTATGTCTGTCTAGAGTAAATAAGACAGACATGACCCTGGGCTTTTGATGCTCTAAAAATATGAGCAGTTAGACCTGAGCTGATTCTCAAAGTTTCCCACTAGGGTCAGGAATTTTTAGGTCACTGCATTTCTTTGTAGGTGCTAATAACCATTAGTATAGTTTGGTAGCCACAGTCAGAACTGAATTTTCTCATAGTCACCCAATATTCCCCAAATGTTTTTTTCTATTGACTTGATTCTATTTCAGGTAAAAACTTAAGAAAAGACACTGAATCGGGATGAGCAATGCTACATTTGTAAAAATACTATAGTGGTGATGTTGGGGGTGGCTTATAGGTTAGCATTAATCTGTTACCTGTGGAGCATAGATATAAAGATGGTTACAGTCTACCAAGTCTTTCCGATATACCTAGATTGCAGGTTTGATCTGCGGTCAGGGCACATAAAAGAATCAACCAATGAATGCATAAATAAGTGGAAAACACATCAATGCTTCTCTCTCTCTCTCAAATAAACAAATAAATTTTTTTAAAAGAAGCTACTTTTTAAAAAGATGGTTACAATCTACTAGGGGAAATAATGCAAATCTATAAATCAATAAAAGAAAAGGATAAAATAGAGATATGGTAAGATTTTATTTATTTAGATTTAGAGTATCAAGTGGCAAAGCCATGCTCTTGCATAGGTTAGACATTTTCATAGAATTTTCTCTTGTTCTCCAAAGGCCATGCGTAGTCATGAAGGAAATGAAGCCCAGGTTTGTTATTTCATAATTCAGTTGCTGTTACTCAAACCAAATGATTTTCGAAACCGAGTAAGTGACTTTGTGAAGGAAAATTCCCCAGAGCATTGGCTACAGAACGACTGGCACACCAAGCACATGAATTATCACAAGGTACTAATTCAAATTAGTGCTTCAGTTAATCCTTTCTAAGCCTTACGTGGCTGTTGATTTGGCTGTTGTCTCTGTGGTTCTACTATTTCTCTCTGGTCTCTAAATTTCTTCAAGGTTCTAGAGTATCTCTAAAGTTATGAATAAATTAAAATTGCAGTTTTTGTAGACACGGGTTCATATAGTACAAAATGAAAAGAGTTATTACAAATCCTTTTATACATAATCACTTTGGGTGTATTTTTGGGATAAAAGATTTTTACCAAGTAAATGACTCTTGTTTTCATTGCATTGTAGAAGCAAACATGGTTTCATGTTCTTCTTTAAATGGCAGGTTTATTTAACTCCTTTTAAAGAGAAAAAAGATGCCCTAAACTTTTACCATTTTCTCATTTCCACAGAAATATCCAGAGAAGCTGTATTTTGAGGGCCTGGCGGAGCAGGTCGATCCTCCTGTGCAGATCCAGTCACCCTATCTTCCCATCTATTTTGGAAATGTGTGTCTCCGATTCCTTCCAGTATTTGATATAGTAATCCACAGATTTTTAGAGTTGCTTCCAGTCTCCAAATCACTGGAGACTCTCCTAGATCACCTAGGAGGGTTATATAAATTTCATGGTGAGCTTTTTTAAATTTTAATTCCATCTAATAGTAAACAAAAGTGGGCTAGGCATGACTATATGGGCAACAGTTGTTCTAAAGATTTTGTTAAAGATTTTATTAAAGTGTTTTGAGGGTAAGTGCCATGCGTTGATACCAGGAAGTCTAAAATAAACAACATAAAAATATGAATAGGTAATCATAGCAAATGTATTAAATAGAAAAAAAAGTGATATGTAAGAGATGCCTTATTTTACAGAGTGTGATTAATTGCCAAAGAGTATAGAGGGAGAAAAGTACGTGTTCACAACAGACCGACGTTACTGGGAACGAATTGGATTTTGGCAGCTTCTTGGGTGGATAGAATTTCAGTTGTGGTGTATGTGATTTGTATAAACAGAAAGGGGGGGCGGGGGCTAGGCAGAATCTTCTGGAAAAATCATGACGGTATTAAAAACAAGACATTTTGAAAACAATAGCCTTATTGAGCTAAATACAAAATTCATGTATTGTACCTGACAGATCATCTTAAATGCCTGACTGAGAAGTTTTGATTTTATAACGCAGGTAATCAAGGATCAACTAGAAGTTATTGAGTAAGATAATGACATGGAAAGCATAAGTGGAAAACATTTATTTTAGATAAATCCAGTTGTAGTTGGTAGCATGTCTTGGAAGAAGGAAGCCATTTCTTATAAGTACCGCGCGCTAACCGATTGCGCCACTGGAGCTCCGGCCAGGAAGCCATTTCAACGTTTTATGTCAGAAAGCTCAGGTGTATGAGTATGTAAACAAGTATGATGGCATTGGAAATGATGAGGAAGGAACAGATAGGCAAGGAAGAAGGAATAGCACTTGGGTGGCTGGTTGTGGGGAGAATATCAAAAGAAAGAAATTAAGACAATTCTAAAATATTAAACATGGTCCTGGAGAATAGCAGAGTCAGTGACAGAAGCAGGGGAGTCCCAGGGCAGCCACTATGGGGACAATGTGTCTTTTTCTGGGGCAGTTCTTTCTAGACCTTGATCTATGATGTTTTCCTCCAGTGCAGAAGCTAAAATTGTCTTTTAGCACTACAGAATAGGTATGAAGTTAAAGTGAACATTCCTTAAAAACATTTTCCATTTGGATTAGGTGATATGTGCACATGGTACAGTAGGGTGTGCCGTAAAATGTCCCATCCCTGTCCTCTAGTAAGGAATGCCCTGGCACATATGTTTCATTTTTGCAGGATACATTTCCAGAAGTGAAATCACTACCTCAGACTGTAATGAATATCTTTAAATACAGATATGTATATTATTGGAAGCTTGCTGCCTTGTCCTAAAATTAAAATATTCACTGTCTAATTACCCAGCATGTGAAATAATTTCATAATCTTCTGAGCTATTTTTTGGTAATCTGAAAACAGAGGATTTGTTTTTCACAGTTGTTGGTAACCAGATCGCATTGTGGTGATCTGTTTTCTTCTTGGCAGATCGTCCCGTGACGTATTTGTATAATACTCTACACTATTATGAAATGCACCTGAGAGAGCGTGCATTTCTCAAACGAAAACTTGTCCACGCGATCATTGGCTCTCTCAAGGATAATCGACCGCAGGGCTGGTGTCTAAGTGACACTTACCTGAAGTGTGCTATGAATGCCCGAGAAGACAATCCTTGGGTCCCAGATGACTCCTACTATTGCAGATTGATTGGCCGACTAGTGGATAATATCCTTTTCATTGTGATTTTCCAGATTCTCTAGAAATAAGTGCATTTATGATTTGTGAGAACGTGAGCTGTATTGTTTTTTCAAGGTAATATCCTATATAATAAAAGGCTCAATGAGTGGAACAATGAGTCTCTGACACACACTGACCACCAGGGTACAGATGCTTAATGCAGGAGCTGCCCCTTGGTGGTCAGGGCACTCCCACAGGGGGAGGGCCACTCAACCAGAAGCCAGGCTCACGGCTGGTGAGCGCAGCAGCAGTGGCAGGACCCTCCCCTGCCTTCACGGCAGCGCTAAGGATGTCCGACAGCCAGTGTAGGCCCATTCTCCGCAGGGAGCAGGCCTAAGCTGGCAGTCAGACATCCCCTGAGGGCTCCCAGACTGTGAGAGGGTGCAGGCCGGGCTGAGGGGACCCCAATGCATGAATTTCATGCACCAGCCTCTAGTTTTTATATATTCTAAGACTTCAATTTCTTAAAGTTTTGAACACTTCTGGAAAGTTTTGAAATCTTAAATTAACAGCATCGTGACAGAGAGGCAGAAATTCACTCCATTAAAATTTATATTTAAAAACAGGCCTTATAAGATTTGTTTCAAAGAAAACAATCCTATTTCTAAATACTAGTAAATATTTTCTATTTGACAATTGGTTTTCTCTCTTTTTTAGTAAAAAAAAAAGCCACTATACTGGTATTTTTATTTCTTCATTTTGATTTCATGTCTTAAGTTATCAGCACATTATACTTAGTATGTCTATATACCATGTCACTATTTAGAGCAGTTTTATATAAATGGTCATGATTTATTTTCCTACACAAAGAAACTTACTTTGTTAAGTAAAAGAATTACTTATTATAAAGTAACTTTAACTTGATTCTATTTCAGGTAAAAACTTAAGAAAAGACACTGAATCGGGATGAGCAATGCTACATTTGTAAAAATACTATAGTGGTGATGTTGGGGGTGGCTTATAGGTTAGCATTAATCTGTTACCTGTGGAGCATAGATATAAAGATGGTTACAGTCTACCAAGTCTTTCCGATATACCTAGATTGCAGGTTTGATCTGCGGTCAGGGCACATAAAAGAATCAACCAATGAATGCATAAATAAGTGGAAAACACATCAATGCTTCTCTCTCTCTCTCAAATAAACAAATAAATTTTTTTAAAAAAAGCTACTTTTTAAAAAGATGGTTACAATCTACTAGGGGAAATAATGCAAATCTATAAATCAATAAAAGAAAAGGATAAAATAGAGATATGGTAAGATTTTATTTATTTAGATTTAGAGTATCAAGTGGCAAAGCCATGCTCTTGCATAGGTTAGACATTTTCATAGAATTTTCTCTTGTTCTCCAAAGGCCATGCGTAGTCATGAAGGAAATGAAGCCCAGGTTTGTTATTTCATAATTCAGTTGCTGTTACTCAAACCAAATGATTTTCGAAACCGAGTAAGTGACTTTGTGAAGGAAAATTCCCCAGAGCATTGGCTACAGAACGACTGGCACACCAAGCACATGAATTATCACAAGGTACTAATTCAAATTAGTGCTTCAGTTAATCCTTTCTAAGCCTTACGTGGCTGTTGATTTGGCTGTTGTCTCTGTGGTTCTACTATTTCTCTCTGGTCTCTAAATTTCTTCAAGGTTCTAGAGTATCTCTAAAGTTATGAATAAATTAAAATTGCAGTTTTTGTAGACACGGGTTCATATAGTACAAAATGAAAAGAGTTATTACAAATCCTTTTATACATAATCACTTTGGGTGTATTTTTGGGATAAAAGATTTTTACCAAGTAAATGACTCTTGTTTTCATTGCATTGTAGAAGCAAACATGGTTTCATGTTCTTCTTTAAATGGCAGGTTTATTTAACTCCTTTTAAAGAGAAAAAAGATGCCCTAAACTTTTACCATTTTCTCATTTCCACAGAAATATCCAGAGAAGCTGTATTTTGAGGGCCTGGCGGAGCAGGTCGATCCTCCTGTGCAGATCCAGTCACCCTATCTTCCCATCTATTTTGGAAATGTGTGTCTCCGATTCCTTCCAGTATTTGATATAGTAATCCACAGATTTTTAGAGTTGCTTCCAGTCTCCAAATCACTGGAGACTCTCCTAGATCACCTAGGAGGGTTATATAAATTTCATGGTGAGCTTTTTTAAATTTTAATTCCATCTAATAGTAAACAAAAGTGGGCTAGGCATGACTATATGGGCAACAGTTGTTCTAAAGATTTTGTTAAAGATTTTATTAAAGTGTTTTGAGGGTAAGTGCCATGCGTTGATACCAGGAAGTCTAAAATAAACAACATAAAAATATGAATAGGTAATCATAGCAAATGTATTAAATAGAAAAAAAAGTGATATGTAAGAGATGCCTTATTTTACAGAGTGTGATTAATTGCCAAAGAGTATAGAGGGAGAAAAGTACGTGTTCACAACAGACCGACGTTACTGGGAACGAATTGGATTTTGGCAGCTTCTTGGGTGGATAGAATTTCAGTTGTGGTGTATGTGATTTGTATAAACAGAAAGGGGGGGCGGGGGCTAGGCAGAATCTTCTGGAAAAATCATGACGGTATTAAAAACAAGACATTTTGAAAACAATAGCCTTATTGAGCTAAATACAAAATTCATGTATTGTACCTGACAGATCATCTTAAATGCCTGACTGAGAAGTTTTGATTTTATAACGCAGGTAATCAAGGATCAACTAGAAGTTATTGAGTAAGATAATGACATGGAAAGCATAAGTGGAAAACATTTATTTTAGATAAATCCAGTTGTAGTTGGTAGCATGTCTTGGAAGAAGGAAGCCATTTCTTATAAGTACCGCGCGCTAACCGATTGCGCCACTGGAGCTCCGGCCAGGAAGCCATTTCAACGTTTTATGTCAGAAAGCTCAGGTGTATGAGTATGTAAACAAGTATGATGGCATTGGAAATGATGAGGAAGGAACAGATAGGCAAGGAAGAAGGAATAGCACTTGGGTGGCTGGTTGTGGGGAGAATATCAAAAGAAAGAAATTAAGACAATTCTAAAATATTAAACATGGTCCTGGAGAATAGCAGAGTCAGTGACAGAAGCAGGGGAGTCCCAGGGCAGCCACTATGGGGACAATGTGTCTTTTTCTGGGGCAGTTCTTTCTAGACCTTGATCTATGATGTTTTCCTCCAGTGCAGAAGCTAAAATTGTCTTTTAGCACTACAGAATAGGTATGAAGTTAAAGTGAACATTCCTTAAAAACATTTTCCATTTGGATTAGGTGATATGTGCACATGGTACAGTAGGGTGTGCCGTAAAATGTCCCATCCCTGTCCTCTAGTAAGGAATGCCCTGGCACATATGTTTCATTTTTGCAGGATACATTTCCAGAAGTGAAATCACTACCTCAGACTGTAATGAATATCTTTAAATACAGATATGTATATTATTGGAAGCTTGCTGCCTTGTCCTAAAATTAAAATATTCACTGTCTAATTACCCAGCATGTGAAATAATTTCATAATCTTCTGAGCTATTTTTTGGTAATCTGAAAACAGAGGATTTGTTTTTCACAGTTGTTGGTAACCAGATCGCATTGTGGTGATCTGTTTTCTTCTTGGCAGATCGTCCCGTGACGTATTTGTATAATACTCTACACTATTATGAAATGCACCTGAGAGAGCGTGCATTTCTCAAACGAAAACTTGTCCACGCGATCATTGGCTCTCTCAAGGATAATCGACCGCAGGGCTGGTGTCTAAGTGACACTTACCTGAAGTGTGCTATGAATGCCCGAGAAGACAATCCTTGGGTCCCAGATGACTCCTACTATTGCAGATTGATTGGCCGACTAGTGGATAATATCCTTTTCATTGTGATTTTCCAGATTCTCTAGAAATAAGTGCATTTATGATTTGTGAGAACGTGAGCTGTATTGTTTTTTCAAGGTAATATCCTATATAATAAAAGGCTAATATGCAAATAGACCGAACAGTGGAACAATGAGTCTCTGACACACACTGACCACCAGGGTACAGATGCTTAATGCAGGAGCTGCCCCTTGGTGGTCAGGGCACTCCCACAGGGGGAGGGCCACTCAACCAGAAGCCAGGCTCACGGCTGGTGAGCGCAGCAGCAGTGGCAGGACCCTCCCCTGCCTTCGCGGCAGCGCTAAGGATGTCCGACAGCCAGTGTAGGCCCATTCTCCGCAGGGAGCAGGCCTAAGCTGGCAGTCAGACATCCCCTGAGGGCTCCCAGACTGTGAGAGGGTGCAGGCCGGGCTGAGGGGACCCCAATGCATGAATTTCATGCACCAGCCTCTAGTTTTTATATATTCTAAGACTTCAATTTCTTAAAGTTTTGAACACTTCTGGAAAGTTTTGAAATCTTAAATTAACAGCATCGTGACAGAGAGGCAGAAATTCACTCCATTAAAATTTATATTTAAAAACAGGCCTTATAAGATTTGTTTCAAAGAAAACAATCCTATTTCTAAATACTAGTAAATATTTTCTATTTGACAATTGGTTTTCTCTCTTTTTTAGTAAAAAAAAAAGCCACTATACTGGTATTTTTATTTCTTCATTTTGATTTCATGTCTTAAGTTATCAGCACATTATACTTAGTATGTCTATATACCATGTCACTATTTAGAGCAGTTTTATATAAATGGTCATGATTTATTTTCCTACACAAAGAAACTTACTTTGTTAAGTAAAAGAATTAATTATTATAAAGTAACTTTATTATTATTATTATTTCAGAGAGGAAGGGTGTGGGAGAGAAAGATAGAAACATCAATGATGAGAGATCATTTCCTGAAAGATAGAAACATCAATGATGAGAGAGAATCATTTCCTGGCCGCCTCCTGCACACCCCCTACTGGGGTCCGAGCCTGCAACCTGGGCATGTGTGCCCATGACCGGAATTGAACTTGGGACCTTCAATCCACAGGCCGACACTCTATCCATTGAGCCAAACTGGCTAGGGCGAGTAACTTATTAATTGTCCTATGACTATTAGAAGGAATAGGTTGATAGTTATAGCAGTACTTTGGTTGCATCTATAGCTATCACATCACAGTTATAAGAGCCCACCTATATAAGACCATTTTATATCTTACAGTTGATCACATGGTTGCAATCAATATATTTGTCATGTCAAGTTTATTTGTATTTGGTTTGTATTATTTGCCTTCTAATCTCTCAGATAAATCACTTCTTGAAGGTTCATAATCAGATAAATTGATAATCAAATGACATGTTTACATATGAAACATTTTGAAAACTGTAAAGCCCTATACAAATGTGAGCCATTAATCTCAAAATGATCCAGTAGTTATTGCTTTAATCATTTGCACCGATGGCTGGCAAGTCTCCTGGTCCATTTCCAAACTGTGACTGGAGATTCAATGAGTTTCCCAATCCAGCTGCCCATGCACTGCATGTTACTTGTGTGGAGCTCATGGCCTTAGCTGTTTCAGGCAAAGAAGTTGGAAATGCTCTTCTAAATGTTGTGCTGAAAAGGTATGTATACTGTTGTATGCAATAAGATTTATTGTTTATTTGTAAAGAAATTGATATTTTATTTGGAGCTGTCAGACAAACCTATTGTCCCAAGGCTGATACACACTAGATCAGCCGTGGGCAAACTACGGCCCGATTGAAATGAATAAAACTATAAAAAAAAAAGACCGTACCCTTTTATGTAATGATGTTTACTTTGAATTTATATTAGTTCACACAAACACTCCATCCATGCTTTTGTTCCGGCCCTCTGGTCCAGTTTAAGAACCCATTGTGGCCCTCGAGTCAAAAAGTTTGCCCACCCCTGCACTAGATAGTAACTGTCTTTTGGTTCCAGATCTTGTCCTTATGATATATGTGTAGTAGAGTTAGCCCTAGACAGTGTCAGGAGACCTGGGTTTATTCCTACTTATGTTCTTTATTAGTTGTTTGGCATTTAATTTAGGAATAATGTTAACTTCTCAATACAGACTGTCTTTGAAGAGTCCTTTCTTAAAGACCAACATAAAGAACGGGATAATGATTAGAGAAGAAGTATAAATAAATGGAAATAGTCTTTCAGCCCATTTGTTAAAGGAAACAACCCAAAACAAAATTCTTATTTTGCTTTTGTTTCTGCATAGTGAATTTTTACTCAATAAAAATCTATTGCAGTTTTATTGGAATAGGTCAGTTGTCAGCCCTTGAATTACATATGTTCTCAAAAGAAGATTCATTATCAACCACATAAAATGTTTTTATAATTCCACGTTTGTATTATTTGTTCCTACTCGTAGTCAGCCTTTAGTGCCACGAGAGAACATTACAGCATGGATGAATGCAATTGGATTGATCATCACTGCTCTACCAGTGAGTTAAGTTGTGATTTTTACGTAGTAATGGAATGCAGTTGTTCCTGTGAGTTAAAAGAATAGGATGCCTTTATATAAGGACATTGTGCAGTAAATGAAGTGTTTCATGTTTTTAAAGTTTTCATATTATTATTGCTTCAAAAATCTACAGTGACTGTTTGCTTTGTGCATTTGGGTCCCTACATTCATTGGTCCCATTTACCCATCCAACCTTAGTTTTTACATTAAAATGTAAATATTTTGAACAGTTAATTATATATCTATGAGAGCCTCTTCTCATGTGACCTCCACATGTGTCTAGTCAGCACCACATAGTTGTCTGTTGTGCTATCTTTGAATCCTATCTAATAAGGAGGGAATACGCAAATTGACTGTCACGCCATCACAAAGATGGTGGCACCCATAGCCACAAGATGGCGGTGCCCAGTCCCCTCAGCCCTGCCAGGGGCGGGGGGGCGGGGGGGCAGGAGCACGGTGCGGCTGGACCCACCCTCAGCCACCCAGCTGCCCAGGGCCAGCCCAAGGTGCAGGCAAGCCTCGGATGGCAGCTGCCCAGCCACCCAGGGCTGCCCGAGGCTCAAGTAACCAGTGCCGGCTGAGGCTTGCGCTGCTGGAGTGGCAGCAGCTGAGGTGTGATGGGGGCGTCGGTTTCCCCTGATCCCCGGGTCACCTCCTGCCCCTGAGGGCTTCCGGACTGTGAAAAGCTGCCCAGGGCCAGCCCAAGGTGCAGGCAAGCCTCGGATGGCAGCTGCCCAGCCACCCAGGGCTGCCCGAGGCTCAAGTAACCAGTGCCGGCTGAGGCTTGCGCTGCTGGAGTGGCAGCAGCTGAGGGGTGATGGGGGCGTCGGTTTCCCCTGATCCCCGGGTCGCCTCCTGCCCCTGAGGGCTTCCGGACTGTGAAGGGGGGTAGGCCGGACTGAGGGACCCCCCTCCAGTGCATGAATTTTTATGCACTAGGCCTCTAGTGTTAGTAATATTGTCTAACCCTGTGCTCTCCAGACTGCTTTGATTATGCACCTCTATAAGTCACTTTTTTCTTACCCACCTCCGAAATATATGTATTTGTTTCTGAGTTACACATGTATATCAGTAGTGTCTGTGTGGTAAATATTGTTAAAGTAGATTTACTGTGTAGTCAGCATCAGGTACTAAGTGAACAGGCAGATGCGTGGAACCCTCTAACTCACAAGCATAATACTGACTTATTATGAAACCACCCACTTTTGATTGTAAAATCTCCATTACACAAAAACACAAGCTGGATAAGTAGAAAACATTAAAGAATGAGAAAATGCTATTATTTTAGGGGTGGGAGTGTGAAAATGAATATGGGGTGGAATACTAGATAAGTGATATTTTTCATCAGGCTTTCCTCTGGTTTTAAAGGAGCCATATTGGATTGTGCTTCATGATCAAATTGTGAGTGTCATCAGTAGTCCCAGCTTGACATCTGAAACCGAGTGGGTTGGCTACCCATTCCGCCTCTTTGACTTCACTGCTTGTCACCAATCGTACTCCGAGATGAGCTGTAGCTATACGTTAGCTCTAGCACATGCAGTGTGGCACCATTCTAGCATCGGGCAACTTTCTCTCATTCCCAAGTAGGTATTATGATTTTTAAAAGAAATTTTACTTTTGTAATTTTGTTTTTGTTTTGTTCTTTAACCTCATGTACATGTAAGGTATATATCTCATTCAGTAGAACAACTTGGAAAGTAAGAGTGAAGTAGAATTTCTAGATAATCAGAAAACCTCTTTTATTTCAGAATTGTTTGAAAAACATGTAATTTGTATGTGCAAGTAATAATTTGGTATCTAGTTTTCCATTACATTTTAAGGAGGCTTTTCCTAGAATGTATTCCAAAAGTTGCCTTTTGAACTGAATACCTGATATCAGCCTATTTTCTGATTATTTACCTTAACTATAAAATTGGTGTTATCTAGATTCAACTTTCTTGAGAATGGCATTTATATTAGACTGGTTATGCACCTCTGTCATTCAGTAATTTTATTTTTAAGAATGACTTTAATCTAAATTTATTCCAGTAATCAAATAAAAATAAGAGCCAGTGAGAGATATGAGAATAATTAAAAATAATTAAATTTGAAGAAATTTAAAAAAAAATTATTATGACTTTTGCAAATACTGGGGTAGACTGTATTAACAAAATTCAAACAATTCACTGATTTCAAATCACAATAAATTATTATCTTCAAATTTTAGGTTTCTCACTGAAGTACTTCTTCCTATAGTGAAGACTGAATTCCAATTGCTTTATGTGTACCATCTTGTGGGACCATTTTTACAAAGATTTCAGCAAGAGAGAACTCGGTGTATGATAGAGGTAAAATATAATCTGGGTTTTCTGTGATAAAATTAAGTTCTAAAATACCTATTTGGGGTTTTTTCCCAGTGTTTTCCAAACTTCGTATCATAATCCATTAGAGTGAAGTCAGCTTAGTAGGATCAGAGAGTGGTTTGGGAGGACTTAGCGTACCCATGACTTAGAATAACTATGATGAGTTTGGTGTGGGATGTGTTGAGTTGGATGTGCAGGGAGAAATACCCATCTTCAAGGTTGAGAAGAA